TGGGTTGATGTTACTTGGAGTTCTATATGTTTCGGTTGCCTGAATGTCAGCAGGAAGACATTCCTGCTGTTTCCCCATATTGGGAAGTTTTCTGCTATTCTGCTCATACTTTTTTTTTTTTTTTCTTTTTTTGCAGTACCAGGGAGTGAACTCAGGACCCTGCACTTGCCAGGCAAGCACTTATTCTTCTGATCTATCTCCCCAGCCTCCATATTCTTTTTATGTCATTTGTATTGATTCTTTCTTTCTCATTGATGCCTGTTACATTTATCTTTGTATTGTCTTGCAGATGTTGAGTTATTTTTCCCTGCAGCCGAGTTGTTTTTAAGAGATCTTTTCTTATCTTTTCACTAGCTGTAATGGTGTCTTGCAGGTCTGAAAGTCTATTTGTACTTTCATTCAAACAGTTTTGCCAGCTTGTGATTGAAATTTTAGTGTCCGATGTATCTCTTTTTTAATCTGCTTCCTGCATTCTATTTCCTTCCTATGTTGCTCATTCAAGGACTCCATCATTTTTCTATTCTGCTCTATTTTTTTTTTTTAATCAGTGTCTTCTTTAGAAGCACTTAGTACTTCTTTCATTGTAGTTGTCATTTCTTTTTTACTTCAGAAATTATTTGTGATCTGATTTCCTCTATACCTTTCTGCAGTTGTTTCTTTACTTCAGATGCTATTATTTCAGAGATTTCAGGTGTGTGATTTCCCATTTCTTCTATGCTGGTGTCTCCTGTGTTTGTTCTGGGTGGGCTCGGGGCGTGAGAATGCATTTTGCTTCTTCTCTTTGTCATTGTATATAGCAGTGTCTTCTGACCTTTGGTGTAGAGCTTTGGTAGAGTTATTACCTTAGCACCAGGTCTGGATCTACCAAGTTCAAACTCATCCAGGTGGGTGTAGCTTGGGTCTGGCTGCTCTGCTCCACTTCTTCCTGCTGCAGCCCTTGGAAGTAAACCCGCTCGCTGTGCCACTCTGGCAAGATGTTCTGTTCCTGGATCAGCTGGGAGGGTCTTGCCTCTAGCCTCCTTGCAGGGAGTTTTGCTGCAGGGTTCCACTCCAGGCCTGTCTGATGGAGGAAGTTCCACTCAATCGCCAGGCCTGGATGCTGGCTGGAGTGAGGCTCCACAGGGCCTTGGGCTGTCCCACTCACATACCAGGCCTGCATGTGGGGCTGGAGTCTGGGAGATTTTCAGTTACTGATTCAATCTCTTTTCTCATTGTAGGTCCATTTAGATTTTCTGTTTCTTCATTAGTTGGTCGTAGTGAATTTTTGCTTCTAGAAATTTATCCATTTCTTCTGCATTATTCCAGTTTATTGGCATATAGTTTTTCATGGTGGTCTCTTTTCCTTCAGTATTTCTGTCTTAGCAGTTGTGATATCTTTCTGATTTTGAGTCTTTTATTTTTAATTTCTAGCTTAATATTTGTCAATTTTATTTTTCTTTAAAAAAGTTTTGCTTTTGTCGCCTCATTTTCCTAGTACATTTCATTTAAGCTCTGATCTTGGATTTTTCTCCTTATTAATTTTAAGCTTAGTTATTTTTGTATTTGACTTTTTTTCCCTTTGAAGCTCTTTGAAATAAGAACTTAGGGTGAGATCTTTCTTTTTATCCTCAAATAGGTATGTAAACCTGAGTTTTCCTCTGGGAGTAGAATTACCTTTAGATTTCATGTTTTAAAATCACATAATACTATGTTTCTTCATTTGCTGCTACATACTATTTTTTTCAGAACCTTAAAAATTAATCAATTTTTATTTAGTTTTTTGATACAGGGTGTTACTATGCAGCTCAGACTCGTAGTGATCCTCTTGTTTCCAGCTTCCCCAGTGCTGGGATTATAGGTGTGTGCCACCATGCCCAGTTTCAGTGACTGGCACTGATGTGTGGCCTGGGACTGGCACAGCATTGTAGTACCCGGGATTGAACTCAGGTCCTTGTGCTTGCTAGGCAGGTGCTTAGATGACTGAACTATCTCCCCAGCCCCTTTTTCAGAAATTTATAATTTGGGAATGAATAATTAAGAGTAGATAAATTTTAGTCTTTAAGTAAGAAGCATGCATTTCCAAAATGAACAGTTTGAGAATCAGTAGGTTGAATTCTGGATACAGTGCCAGTATTCAGTAGCATTGTTTTATTAAGTTTTCACATTTTTTTTTTTTACTTCCTGTCAATAGTGTATTTATGACATAGAAAGACTTCAGGAATTGTGTAATTATGGTTTAGTTTTTTAAATAATCAAATCATTCCTCTAGTCATTAAACTGATGTGTTTTCCATAGATAATTTATATATTGTGGGTGGTTTAGTGGTATGTTTAGGATAGGAATGGTTAATTGTGAAAAGAAGAAATTGCTTTCTCTAGTCATGATTTAAGTAAATAGTTTAAAGAAGATAATCTATAGAAAGGGCTAGTCTGTAGTAGAGTTGTCAGATTGTTATGAGCACATGAGCAACCACATCCATGTAATTCCCACCCAGTGAAGAGTAGAACAACCTTGTGAGTTCTCGGAACTTGGTTCTCATTCACAGTTGGTTTCCTTCAGAAAGAAAATGGGGGGAAGGGTATTGATGTAGAGACCCACATAGCTCTCTGGTTATCTGAACAGAGACTTTACAGATCTGAGTTCAGCTGACGCTGTCCTATAAATCGGTCTCATGGGGAAAGAAGAGGGGCCTGTTGTATTCCCTGCTCCCAGGAGCCGCAGAAGAGGCTGCTGTGCTTTGGCTGCACCCTGCCTTTATCAGCAGTGCCATCTGCGTGGGGGGAGGTGCTTCCTTGCTTCCTGAGCTAGACGCCTGGAAGACCCTTTCTAGATACCCACTGCCCATGGGGAGTTTGTTGGCAGGAGGGTGTCCCTGTCGGTGTGGGGAGGTAGCACAGTAGGTGTGGCACTAGTGTCTCTGGCCACACCGGCCTTACCTCTGCTTGGAGGAGTATGGGTTCCTCTTTGTCTGGTTAGAACATGCAGTCACAGGCTAGGCAGCTGAACTGTACCACAGGAGAGAGCTTTTGTTCTTACAGAGTGGACACAGCTCTTCGCAGCTGTGCTACCTGCTCTGAAGAGCAGTGTCTAGGAAACTCACTGTGTTATGAAACTCATGGCTGAAGCAGGAGCGTCTATAGAGTATGGCAGTTTGTAGATAGATGTGCAGTGCTGGCCTAGGAGAGCATGTAGAACCAGGGGTACGAAACGCAGTTGGTTTTCACAAGAATACGGGAAGCTTTAAAAATTACATAAAGTGTCATTGAGTTTTTTTATATTTTTGTGAAAATTGTTCTAATACTGTTAATTAATATTAAATTCCATAGAATGGTGGTTTAGAAGGGAATTTTTTTTTTTTTTTTTTTTTTTGACACAGTCTTGCTGTGCAATTCAGCCTAGTGTTATGTAGCCCAGGCTGGCCTCAAATTGGCAGTGATCCTCCTGTCTCAGCCTCCCCGTTGCTGGGCTTTAGAAAGCAGTCTATTGTAACTTCTGCAAAAAATTTAAATTCACTGGAGTATTTTAAAGAAATCTGTTGTAACCTGTAAAAATGATTTTTTTTTTTTGAAAAGTAAATTGCATTTTAAACATTAAGTACAGATTTTTTTATTTTTTTATTTGTGTATGTGTGTGTGTGTGTGTGTGTGTGTAACCAGCTCAGCCCACCAGGGGGCAGGGCGGGCTGGCATGTGGTGCTGGGGGATTGAACCGCGGTCCCTGTGCTTTGCTAAGCTTGTTCTAAGTAGGCGCCTTAGACCACTGAGCCATCTCACCAGCCCCTAAGTACAGACTTTTATCTGTGGAGTTTACCTAAAGTAGTACAGTATAGATCGGGATCTTATGTATGCCTACATTTCATAGCATCATGAAATGCTTTTCCAGTTAGGCTTTGTTAAATAGGTTTATAAAGTTCTGACTGGTGTTGCATTTAATTACTGTCCCCTCTATTGTATCCCTTCATTATACATAATTTTAAAATGATATAATTCTGTGAAGTACTCTATCCTCTGTTATTGTTGAAAACAAAATATTCAACGTGAAGATGTTCATATAACATACATTTTATCTATTCAGTTTGGGAATAAAAAAATTTTGAGAGTCTTATGTAAGCATGCACATGGTGTGGGTATATAGGGAGAGTTATGCGTTTTTATTATATTTTTAAGAAAGGAAAAATGTTCTGGGAAGAAACTGTTAACTTTTAAGAAATTGATACCATTTTGTATTTATTTATTTTAAGGTATTTAGTACAGGGTCTACAGGGTCTCACTGCATAGATCAGATTCATAGTGATTCTCTTGTTTTCAGCCTCCTAAGCGCTGGGATTACAGGCACGCACCGCCATGCCCAGTCTCAGTCACTGTCTCAGTGTGCCCCGAGGGTGGAGCTGGCACAGCATGCCTGGGATTGAACCCTGGCCACTGTGCTCTGCCTAAGTTGGCGCTTTAGTCTACTGAGCTATTTGGCTGGTCCCAAGAAATGATACCATTTTAGAAATCAGGTGTTTAAGAGTTTTGAATGACATCCAGAAAGTTAATACTTCATTAAAGGTGACAATTTTATATACAGTAAAGATATTCCACCATAGGTTCTAATAACATTTATTAAGAAGCATAATGGGGGGGCCGGGGAGATGGCTCAGTGGAGGAAGCGCTTCCCTGGCAAGTGCAAGGGCCTGAGTTCAATCCCTGGTTCCACAAAAAAAAAAAAAAAAAAAATAAAATAAAATAAAAATGAAAAAAAAGCATAATGGGAAAAACTGGGCAATTGGTTGCTTGCAGCTATTATGGACAAAAATGAGAATTGTTAGGTGGGAACTGAGAGGCTTAGAAAAGCTGGATGCTCAAGCCCTCTGAGGTGACACCGAGCAGTCTCAGCGCTGTCTGGCTGTCTCTTCAGCTGCCTTACTGAGGCTGAGCTTAGTGGAGGATTTTATGAAGTGAAACATAAGAATTATTTAATGTAGGCTTACATTCTTAGAAGCATGACTGAAGTTACTTTTGTTTTTTTAAAATTTGTAGGGAGAATGATGAATCAGTGAAAGAAGATAAATCTGACCTAAAGGAGAAACCCACAGGAAATAAGAAGGCCAATCGATTCCACCCTTACTCTAAAGACAAGAATTCAGGCACTGGAGAAAAGAAGGGTCCCAACCGTAACAGGGTTTTCATTAGCAACATCCCCTATGACATGAAATGGCAAGCAATCAAAGACCTCATGCGAGAAAGAGGTAAGTGGCTCTGGAATTGCCCCTGCTGGTTAATCTTCGTGTCAGGGAAGAAGCTAAGCACGCTTTTATTCTTCTTAGCCACATAGACTCCAAACTTAATTTTTATTTCTTGACATGTGAATTAATCTTTTCCTCCTCTTTCACTTGACACAATTTCATTCCAAGGTAGCATGGATAAATGAAGTACTTTCTTTTTGCCACTTTAGTGGAGTAGTAGCAAGCCAGCATTTGCATGCCACCAAGAATTTTGTTAAAGTGATTGCTTTGTCTAGTTGAAGTTTTATAGATTTTTAATTATTGCACTAGTTAAGCAATACATGTAGTGTGTTAATGTATGAATAACAAGGTCTGACTATTTTTTTCCCAAAAGCTGTTTTGTTCTTACCTTGGTGGAGTCTGGAATCTGGCTGTGGAATTCCTTTTGTTTGCATTGTCCTGACTGCCACGATGCTGTCTTTGCAGTTCTATATTAAAATTGCGTTACTGCTGTTGTAGTTTGATTTCAGAATAATCTGAAAACCTTCATCTTATATATATGGTTGGTTTTGGGGAAAAATAATTTTAATACTTGATCTTGTAAAAGTTAGTTCTGTCACCTCTTGAAAAATTGCGTTTCATCAGTCCTGTAAACTATGTACTTGGCTTTGAGGCTGATCTCTTCTAATACATACAAAACAATTGCATTGGTGTATCTGTTGTAAGGTGACAACTATTTGATTGGTTTTATTCATTGACTTTATTTAGAAAGTGTGTGGCTTGCTGTGAAGCATGACTTGTAAATTTAGTTTACTGATGGCAACCATGATTGAAGACATTCAGGTAGAAGGTCACCTTAAAACAGCTGTTGTGTGTAGGCTGACCAAAGTTATTTGAAAAGTGCTAATGTTGATGTCTTTTAATATGATAGGCTAAGGGACCATTTGTATGTATATGTGCATTTGTTCACCAACTATATCATGCTGGCCAAAATATGATCTGTAGTATGAATTAGGTTAATATGGTTGTTAGCTTCTTTTAGAGAATGTGGATGATGTACATTTCTGAAAATTAGTTAAATTTACATAGCCATTGACAGGAGGTATGTTGGTCTGGTTTTGATTGTTGGTGAATAATAGGTGCTTTTCTGTAGAGCTGTGCACAGGTGTGCAGTAAAGCAAGACACTGGTGTTTAAATGTATTGTTTCTTGGTATCTTCCTTTTGTATGTCTTATGTAGTCGGTGAGGTTACATACGTGGAGCTCTTTAAGGATGCGGAAGGAAAATCAAGGGTAAGTGCTGTGGGCAATCATCTGCTTGAGGTTTAAAAGTTCCTCAGCAGTTTACTTTCTGTATAATACTTGTACCAGTTTTTGGAAACTTAAGTTTCATTTTGCTTTACTTTATTATTCAAGATCTGAGGCTTTACCCTAGTAAGTCTGACACTTTATACCAACCAACTCGCTGCCTGGAAGGGATGGGTCTTGTAAATGTTTCTGTAAAGGGCATGCACTTTCTAATACTCTTAAGGCAGTGCTTCTTAGTAAAATTTTGTTGTATTCTGATGTCTTCAAGGATATTTTAAAATCACTGACTCGATAATATTCCCTAAGAGTTTTATGAGAGGCCTGTAGTTTAAAGGTGTTAATTCAGAATGTAATTTTGAAAAGCTCAATTTGGTAACCTGCAGGACCACAGAAGAGATAGTGCTCTGACCAAGTGCTAGGAAGGGCATTGGTGAATAAATTAATGTAGAAGGAATTGGTTGATAGTAGACTTTGATTTTTAGCAACAACTGTACAATATACTGAAGATATAATGGAAAACTTTTTACCATGTTTAGTAGCAAAAACCATCTGGGTAAATGAAAAAGACATTGTATTCAGTTGACACTTTGAACAGTAATCATAAGAAATTATTTTTAAAAATGATTCTATGTTTCTTTTGCATAGGTGATTTTATTTACGTATTTACAATTGGATGCTATTGCAGTGAATTTGAATCTAGTACAGAACTTTATTAAAAAGAAAACTAATACTTATTTCCAATTTTTATTTGTTTTGAGTGGAAAAATATGTTGTACATTATGTATCTTTTAAAAGTATTGTAACTATGTAAGGGCAGGTATATTGGAGTCTTCTAATACTTCCTTTAATTACTGTTGATTGAATTTTCATAGTAATACTAGTTTTAAGAGAAATTATCTGTAAGTAAAAATATGCTCTAAGCTTCTTACATGCTAGGTTCTACTGTAAATAGATGACTTTAAAATTTAACAATTTATGATCACTTGCCTTCTATGTTCTGGAAATGTAAAAGATTAAAAATTAATTACTTCTATTGACATTAATGTTAGAATCTACCATTAATTTCATCTACTGATCTAAAACTTTTTTTCTTTTGCATATACTGACCAATCTACCTGGATATAGGGTTGTGGGTAAGAATTTTTTTTTTTTACAGTACCTTAAGTCAAATTAAACTTCTGATTGTGAAAGTGTCTTAGTACATAAACATTTCTTATCAATTTTTCTCCTTTAAGTGTGGTTGAATTTAAAGATGAAGAATTTGTAAAGAAAGCCCTAGAAACTATGAACAAATATGATCTTAGTGGAAGACCCCTGAATATAAAAGAGGTAAGTTCTCTTTGGAATTTAAATGTTTGATTATAGCTTCATGCTTTCTTTCATTTTATTTGCTAATATATTTATTGAACTACAACTTCAGGGTTTTTTTTTTTTTTTTTTTTTTTGGAACCGGGAATTGAACTCAGGCCCTTATGCTTGCCAGGGAAGCGCTTATTCCACTGAGCCATCTCCCCGGCCCACAACTTCAGTTTTTTAAGCATAGAGACTTACTAAGGCTTTGAATATTGCTGATAGCTTTCCTTGCACATGGTTTCCTTTAAACAGTTATTCTTTATATTTGACTTATTCTAAGTTGTCACATTACTGCTAATCATTGGTTGGCATTCAAGAAGATATTAGTAGTTGGGGTCCCAGCCTCATCTCTTTCTCCCTCAGTATGTAGGCATGCAACTTCTCTAAATCTCAGTAGTCGTAGTAATACTCCTCATAATACCTACCAGGGTTTTTATTTTATTAAATGAGCTACATTTAAAGCATTTGGATTCTGGCATCAGAAACCCTGTGTGACCCAAAGCAGATTACCCAACATGGTTTTGTTTCCTTATCACTGAAATGGAAATAGTAGCAGGACCTACCTGGTAGTGTTAATGTGATGTAAAGGGTGAGTGCACGTGAACAGCTTGATTAATGTTAGCTGTTGTATTTATGGTATGACGGTATTACAACCCTTAGGACTGTGCCCAGAATATTGTAGTTATATAATAGATGCTAAAATAACAATGACAATTCCTATTCCTGTCCAGGCCTTCTTGGTCCCTTGTTCTTGAGTGTGTGATAATAGTTCAAGGTTAAAGACCAGGCTTCCAACATACAAATGTATCCCAAATGCCTTCAGTGGTGTTAGTGTTCACATTTCTCGTGTCTTCTTTCTGCCTGAAGGTTATTTTATTTTAAAAAAAGTTTTTTTAACAGACAAAAAATGGTAGAGAAGAAACGGTAGAGAAAGTTCAGATTAGTGGTTTTGGGCAACTATTGTATCTATTCGTTGGGTTTATTCATAAGCCAGGGTCAGGGCTTCAGAAATGAGTTAGTGTTGCAGATAATTGTCCTGTCCTGTCCGGTTTATCTTTGTATTTCTTTTCAGAGGTTAAGTATAGTTCCTTTATAGCAATATCATACAGTATAAAGATATACTTGTAGAGCTGGGCTATAGCTACGGTCTAAGCCACTGCTTCAGTGGCTTCGGACCTGACTTTGGTCACTGGTACCACATGGTGTGCTGGCCTGGGAACCCTGGGTATGCCATGCTGGCCCCCAAAACTGGGCGTGGTTGTGCACACCTGTAATCCCAGGAGGACCACTGTGAGTCTGAGCTGTGTAGTGAGACCCCATACCAAATAAATGAATAAAAGATACACACACACGCGCGCGCACACACACATATACATTTGTATAGTGTCTTTTATTTGAATTAAAAATACTGGGTTCTAAAAGTTAAGGCATGTTCTTGTGTCTTTTTGAATTTTAGCACATTGTTTATTCTCAGTATATCTTACTAAAGAATGTATTATGAGCTTCAGGTTGATACGCAGTGCCTCCATGTTTAACTTTTGAAGAGAAAAAAATAGTCAAATTTAATTTTTCTAAGTGACTAAAGATTTTTGGCTTAAGATTACAAAAGGCACTCCCTTTCCAGGAAGAACTGATTTACAAATTGGTGGCCCGGTAAATGCTCAGAACTCCTACTGGGATGGAAGGCTAAGGAAAGTGTATTTCTGGTGTCTGTAGCAGATCTTAAAGTTGCAACTTTTCCATTTTAATTAAGTGGAGATCAGTAATAGTTGTGAATGTATTTACAGCCCCTTTACTACTGTGAGCAGTCCGTGAGCAGCAGGCAGACAGCAAGGAGAAAAGAGGGTGAAAACCATAACGTTCTAAGTGATTTGTTTTACACATGCTCTCTCTTACACACACACACACACACACACACACACACACCCCTACACACCTACATACTTGTCACACCTACATGAAGACAAATGAAAGCATAGCAGCATGCTCTAATAATGTTAAACACAAATGACCTGTCTTAATAATTCAACAGTGTCTTTCCTCCTGTTTTCACCTCCTACCCACACGGGCCACCATGATTCTAAATTTTGTGTTTATATGCATTTTTGAATCATCTAACCTGAAACATATTTGTTAACCCAAAAATTTTATACATTCTTTGACAGAATTTTTTACTTAATCTTTTGTGTTTCTTTATAATGAGTGAAGAAATACATTAGAAACCAGAATACTTTTATTGTACCCGTCTTTTTACTTTCTATTCTTGTGGCCATCCTAGAGAATTTATTAAAGTTATCCAACTTTATTTAGTTCCCATTTCCACTAAGGCTAGCAGAGTACAATTAATGGTTACCCCTAACATAGTCACCTGGCACTGAAGATGACTGTGAATGTGTGTGTGTGCATGCATGTGTGTGTGTGTATGTGTGTGTCTGTTTTGTAGTCCACCTAGTGGAATGAGTTAGAATCACACTTAAACTTTTTTTTTTTTTGGTGTCTGTGTGTATGTGGGGGCTTTGTTTAAAGATAGAATGTAGCTCATGAAATTAATAAGCATTAAAAATTTATTGTCTCAGTGGCATAAGTGCCTGCCTGGCAAATGCAAGATCCTGAGTTCTAGCCCTGGTACTGCCAAAAATAAGTAAATAAATAAATAAATATTCTGTACTTGGACATTTGGCATTTTAAAAAACTTTTCCTACTTTACCTCAGATCATAATCATTATTGAGGAAAGTAAAAATTTAGAGGTTGGTTAACTATATTTTGTTCAGGAATGAGATTTACAAATTACAATAAGCATCACTTTTTTTTTTATTTTTTATTTCTGGGCTTTATAAGAGCCAGTATTTCCATTGAAAAGCTTTGCATTTAACATTAGTCTGAATTTAACATTTTATTGGGCCTCCAGTGGTGAGAATTCGCCATTGCTGTCTTCTGGAAAGAAAAGAGTCGTGAGTCAGAGTCAGCCTTGCCCCTCTTTGAGCCACGCGTGTTCCATAGGGGTGTACTAGACTTGCTCAAAGAGCTGTGCTAAGTCAGTTCCTAGTGACTGCAGTGATTGAAAAGGGGTCTTTAACTGGTATCTCCGAAGACTGAAGTCTTTTGTCTGTCTGTGGGTTTTTAGAGTCTTCTCACTTCTTTGGACTAGAAAAAAGAAAAATCTCATTCACGAGAGTCAGTAATAGAGCCAGATGGGTTAGCTACTATAGAATCTGAAGTTGTTATTTTAAGTGTTAGATTTTTTTGGTGTGCTTGGTAGTACCTACCATTCATTGTGTGTTGCAGGATCCTGATGGAGAAAATGCTCGGAGGGCATTGCAGCGAACAGGGGGATCCTTTACAGGAGGCCATGCCCCGGAGATGGGGTCTGGGTTGATGAATTTACCTCCATCCATTCTCAATAACCCGAACATTCCTCCTGAGGTTATCAGTAACTTGCAGGCTGGTAGACTTGGTTCCACAATATTTGTTGCTAATGTAAGCTTAAGCTTAAATCTAAAATGTTATTGTTTGGCTACCTTAGTGTTAATCATGAGATTGATTGGATGAATGTTTTTCATGTTTATAAAACATTTTGCTTGGTTTTAATTAGAGAAGCCATAATTGTTAACTCAACCCAATTTATGTATGTATGAGATGAAATTAGAGTTTAAGCACAGTTAACTTTTAAACAGAACTCTGAATTTATAAACATTTGAGCAGTTTATGATATTACCAGCTTTAATAATATGTACTTTTATTCATACTGGTAAATGAATTTTATTCTTGTAGTCTTGATATTTGTGAATGTGCATGTTATAGTTGGTTTGTTGTTTTCTCCGAGTTCTTGAAAGTAAGTATAAAGGACAGTACTTTTCAAAATCTGATTTTCTTTCAATGAAAATAGGTGTATAAATTTCACATATAGTTACTCATCTAACAACTGAATTCTGGCCTGCCAACTAGGTCCATAAATGAATTGGTTGCTAAATGAGGAATTGTATGCAATATGACATTAAAATATTCAGGACAAAGAAATCAGCAAAGGAAACTTCAACTTGATGACTTTGCTTTTATTTGTATAACTCTAGCCTGCACTACTATAATGTGTAACAATATAAAACTACAGTGCTGTTCTGTACAGTGCTATCAGCAGAGAATATAGTGGTATGCTGTACCAAAAAAAAAAAAAAAAGACACTGAGGCTCTGTCAAAAGATGCACAGAGCTGTATCCATCCCCCAAGTAGGGCTTAAGTCCAGATGGTAGGTTGTAAGTCCAAGGAGTTGTGAGATAGCTCGGCTGTTAAGATCTGTATGTATAAGGGAATTGAGCAGTTGATTTGGGGAATTAAAAAATAAGGATAAGCAACAACTGAATTGAGTTTAAACAACTTAAGTTTTTTTAATTTAAACATTATTGGTATACCATTGAACAAGAATCAGAGAGCTTAGAAAAGATTCTTTTGCATTTATGAAATGAGAAGATGAATTTGTTAAAGTTGCATAACTTTATACAATTTTATATTAAGCTGGACTTCAAAGTTGGTTGGAAAAAACTAAAGGAAGTGTTCAGCATAGCTGGAACTGTCAAGCGAGCAGATATTAAAGAAGACAAAGACGGCAAGAGCAGAGGAATGGGCACAGTCACTTTTGAGCAAGCGATTGAAGCAGTTCAAGCAATTTGTATCCTGATTGATGTTTTAACATTGTTTAATGAGGCTGGAGAAACTTGCTGTCATCCTGTGAGCATCATGGAATTCAAGTTTGCGTGGCCTAGATCTGTGTTACATCTCAGTCTCTCCAGCACATAAAACATTTAAGGTATTCAAGGACTAGAGTGACTCTTAAGAGCCTGAATTGGCCATATGGTATGGACAGGGCTGGCATGGAGTTTAGTTTGCCTTCTTACCACAACTGATTGTATGCGTACATACTTTGGATTGGTAGTACATGTACCCTTGGTACATTAATGCAGTTGTTTAGATGAATGAAGCCTTGTTAACTTTTTTTCAGTGGCTGAGTTAATATATTTTATTCATAAAATAGAACTATAAAGCTTAAAGTGTTCTTTGATTAAATGGAAGAGATTTGTACCAATAAATACATATTTTTAATATTAAAGGTGTTAAAATATTAGTGATAGTTCGATGCTCCTTCGTTAGTTTGTGTCAGGTTTAATTTTGTAGTTTTCTTGACTAGCTTTCCTTGACTGCACCAACAGCTATGTTCAATGGGCAGTTTTTATTTGATAGACCTATGCATGTGAAAATGGTGAGTGCCTCTGTGTCTCCTAACCCTCCATGCTCACTGTTGGCAACATTATACTGTTAGATTAAAAGTTAACATTAAAGTTAACCAAATGATTAACTTTTTTGCAATTAGGATGACAAGTCTGTCCCTCATGAAGACTACCGTTCACATGACAGTAAAACACCACAATTACCACGTAAGATAATATAAAAACTGACTTTTTATTATCATCTTTTTAGCTTAAGGTTTTTTTTTTTTTTTTTTTTTTTTTTTTGGCTTTCTTTCTTTCTTTCTCTTTTGTGGTACTGGGGATCATACTTAGGACCTTGCACTTGCCAGGCAGGCGCTTATGCTGCTGAGCTGTATTCCGGACCCTGTCTTTCTTGTCTTTGGTTTTGTTAGGTGCTAATAAGCAAAGCTTTCCGTTTCAGCATACAAGTTGCTCACAGTTTTGGACTTTTGAGCACAGTGGTGCTATTAGGAACACGAAGAAGATAAATGTTACATGGCACATTCTTTCTGTTGGTAGTTTTTCCTGACCATACGTATTAGCAGTCATGTTAATTTACGTGTTAAGTTCATACTTATAAAGTGTAAAAAGTCTGCTGTTTCCTTACCATCTTAACATTTTTAAAAATTTTTCTTTCTGTGTTGTGTACATTTTTTTTTACATAGTTGAAAACCATGTAAGTGATACTGAATTTTTTATTAGTGTTTTTGGTTGTTTATATATTTTAACAATAAGGTATAAGCATTTTTCTATATTGAAAATTATTTTCCAGGTTTTTTATCATATAGTTGCTGCATAACCATTTGCTGTTAAATATTTATTTTAGGTCTTCTGTTGCCTTTAGTTTTTAGCAGAGTAATGTGTGCTTTTTTATATATAAAAGTTTAGTAGTTTTTGTTTATTTCCTTTAGATAGATATCCTGAGGTAGATTTTAAGATCTGAAGGTATACCTTGATTAGTATCATGAGATTGTTTTCCAGAAGGTTATAGAGGGAGGATTATAGCACTGCTGTGAGGTCCTGAGCACCTCCCTCAGTGCCCTCTCTCAGAAGTGGCGCTGATTACCTGGTGGTACCTAGTGCCTCCCTCATGGGTCTGGCAGGAGCAGTGTGGGTTCATATATGCAAGGCACTTAGGCTTGAAATGATCTCAGGTCCTTACTGCTTCACTGGATATTAATATTTTCTAAACATAAAATATTTTAAATACCCTGACAAAATGTTCAAAACTATTCTTGTACATCACAACTCGTACTGTTTATATTAGCTCTTTTTAACTAAATGAAGTGTTACACATTGAGATTCCCCACGTCCCCTATTCACCTCCCAGCAGGTACCTTAGCCCGAGGAAATGGCTTAGAAATACAGTGTTGAACATTTAGACTACATGTTTGTACATCCACAGGCTGAATTTAAGATTTGTGTGCGTGACATCCTAGCATGTATTGCTTGCTGTTTGTCATTTAAAATTGTTTTTTAAATCCTTTTTGATGTTGCTTGTGTGTCTTTATTTAATATTTTATATACTTTTTCTGCTTTTTCGATTACTCACAGTTTTTAAGTATTAGAAACATTGAGTTGGGGAGTGTTGGTTCTTTTTTTGTTAGAATTACATACTCCTTTAATATTTGTAAGGCTTTCTGCCTTCATGTAGTGTTTGGTGCAAAAGTTTTGAGCTACTGATCATATTTTTTATTGCTTCTGGAATGAATTTTGATAATTCTTATTTTTCAAAGGATTTTTTCATATTTTGTCATTTTGAAATTTGTTGGAATATTGTCTCTTAAATTTTGGGGTCCATATTTTTGTCTCCTTTTGAATTCTAAAGGTTCACAATGTATTTATTTCTTGGTTCAGTTTTCCTAGAAATTTGTCTGTTTTGTAAATGTTTTTAAAGAAGGGGATTTTTTCCCCCAATATATTTAATTTTTCCTCTTAGCCTTATATTTCTTTCCTCCTATTTTTCAGTTAGCCTCTAAAGTTTTTTTGTCTTTCTGTAAGTTGGAAGCTTTCTTGACTAGTTTGCAGCCTTTCTTTTGTAAGATAAACAATCAAGATTATAAATTTAGCTACTGTACACAGCTTCTGCTATGGAATATTTTTATTATAACTCAGTTTTTAGCGTGTTTAAAAATCACCAGTGTGGTTTTTTATTCATTAAGTTTATTGGGACGTTTTAGGTATACATAATGATTATACTCATCATGATGGATTTGTACCTGTACATGATATAACTTGATGCTTTTTTCCTCATAGTCATATTATTTAGAAATGTAATATTTGAGTATTTGAGTGCATAAACTTTTGTGATTTTCCTGTTTATATCTTCAGTGTGATCAGGAAACATGGTCTGTGATTGTGTTTCCCTGAGATGAGTCTAGACTTGCGTGGTGGGCCTTCCATCAGGCACGTTTGCAAAGCCATTACCCTGGCGAGTGCTGGGCTCGCTGGCCACTGAGCTGCTCTGCCAATGGCTGCGCGCTGCCAGCCTCTCATCGGTGTGCTGGCATTCTTGTTTGGATAGGTAGATGGTGATCGATTTGTTGTCACATCAGTATTTTCAAGCTAACTTAGTAGAAGGGTCCAAGATAAGAACTGACATGTTCTCTCCCCAAGAAGAACTGATATATTTTCCTATGAGTCACTTTATCATTATAGAGTGATTTTATCTTTACTAATTACCTTTAAGTCTTTCGTCTGATGCTGCCATATAAGTATAGTGAATTTGTTTTGGTTAGTATTAGTCTGGTGCATTTTCTCTCTCTTTTAGTATTTATTTTCTCTGACTTTTACTTTACAAACTGTATTATGATTGGGATTAGAGTTTTTGAAAGTCATTTTGACAGCCTTTGCTGTGCTTTTGATGAGTTTCACATATATTTATTAATTTGTTTGGATTAATTCCCATCTTATATTCTTTCTTTGTTTTATAAATATTAATTCTTCTTTCTTGTCTTAGTGGTTATCTTGGATATTTTAGTATGCCTACGTACAGCCTAAAACTCATTATTGTTGTAGAATGACCTCAGAATGCTTCAGTGCCATGCAGTTTCCTGCTGAATTAAACACTGTTCTTCCTCAGTGTTGTAGCAGTGTATTGTTTTTACATACCACAAATTAGACATCATCATTTTTTTTCTCTTTGGAACACATTTTAGAAGCTGTTGTAGCATGCATCTTTTGTTGGTAAATTCTCTCAAGTTGATTTTTTTGCAGATGTCAAGATTTATGGAGTTTAGCGTTGGTAATTACTCTCAGCACTTTAAAAATACTCCATAGTCTTCTGGTTTTTGTTATTGCCATTAAGTTAGCTGTTTGATGAATTATCTTTTCCCTGTAGGTGATCTGTGTTCTCCACAGAGCTGCTTTTAGCTTCCTGGTCTTTCTTTGGTGGGCAGTTTTACTCTGTGTGTGTGTGTGTGTGTGTGTGTGTGTGTGTGTGAGATTTGGCCTTCACATTCCAAAAATGCAGCTTTTGTAATAAACTCTGGGAACCTCGCAGTGTGTCTTGAGTCCTGCCCTTTCTACCTTTGGGGAAGTCCATTCTGCTGGACCCAGCCAGGCAGCTGTCCTCAAGATCCTGGCTTTGTGTCTGGGCTTCCAGTGTACTTTTCTGTTTTAATATTTTTCTCTTTATTTAGATAAGGTGTAATACTATGTTCAAACCTATGGCACACATACTCTTTTTTATAGACTCACCTGTGTTCAGTTTAACAGAAGTCCACAATCTTCGGACCAACTCTTGTCCGTGTTCAAATGTGCTCTGCATTCGTGGACTTTGAATCCTTTGTTTTAGTTAAGCTAGTTTTCACAGGACCCACCCTCTATGTTCCTGTCTCAGCTCTCTTCCTCCTTTTCTTTGTGAGCCGATTGTACTTGGCAGGCAGGAACCTCCTCACATCCAAGCCTGCTGGTTTGACTTCGGTAAGAGCAGAATCTCGTAGATGCATTTGATTTTTCTTGCTCCCAGACACGGGCTGGCTTGCATTTGGTGTGGAGCGGCACCAGGGTGAAGAGATGAGGCGTGGTGCTCCCTCATGTGTTGGTCTAAGTGCCGGCAGCGCTGGTGCTCTGCCTTCCACGTGAAGCATTTGTAGAGCTGAGCGGGGAGAAGACATGTTCTTTGGCATGGAGCCTTACAATTCAGTACAACATGCTTCTGTGTTGTGATTTGTAAAAACTATGTACAGTGCATGGGTTTTTTCAGCCTAAGACTTATTTACTGTGACTAGAAAGAACTTTAAAACTACTGTCATGTTTAGGAGAATCAATCACCATCCAAATGTTCATTAGTTTTACTATTTATAAGGTCATCAAATTATACTTCTTAGAGTTGATTTTAACTAATTTATTTTCAAAGAGATCATGTAAAGATCCTAGACTTAAAGATCCTAAATTTCAAGACAGAAGGCCTAAGTGGTAGTCCCAGTCATGTAGCCGAGCGGCCGTGTGTAGGTAATGCAAGGTCTCAGCAGGCTCATCTTTGAATGATAGTTAGAAAGCACTTAAGGTGTTGTACATATGTAAGTATGCGTTTATGTTATTAATAAAACCACATAGTGTCACATTGGCTTTGTTCACTATTTTGTTTTTGTGGTTGTTGACTTTTTTTAGTTTGTGTTGAACCATTTTAAAAGTAATGCAAAGATGTAGGTGATTGTACACACTTGTGCATGACGTTCCTTTTTAGATATGTGTGCCTTTTTTTTTTTTTTTTTTTTGGCAGAACTGGGGATTGAACTCTGCCCCTTATGCTTGCCAGAGAAGCCCTTATTCTACTGAGCTATCTCCCCAGCCCCCGATATGTGTGTTTTTGACAGGGTGATATGTCAGTCAAATCCTTGTGGTATTATGTTCATCCGATCAGTCTACCTTCAAGGGGGTCAAAAGGGGAGCCTGCTGAATAACATGTGGTATTATAGTCAGGCTTCTGTATGCTGTTTTCTAAATGAGTGGAAGAACCAGTGCTTATACTTGCAGATTTGTAACATTTTAGACTAGGGATTGGTAACAACTAACTGTTCTTTGTGTTTGAGGTGGCCTTGGTGGCATTGGAATGGGACTTGGTCCAGGAGGACAGCCTATTAGTGCCAGCCAGTTGAACATAGGTGGTGTAATGGGAAATCTAGGTCCAAGTGGTGAGTATTACACCTTTCTGATTTTTTTTTTAAATGATACACTTGCTGTATAATAAACACAGGGTTTATTAGTCTCATGATATGTGTTTAAAGAACTCTTCTAGAGAGCTAGAGAGCTTTAGGATGTTACTTTGGTTTGAAAAAAGATTGAAACCGTGAGAGCAGGCACTGAGAAATGATGGGCCAGAGTCAGGTGTGTTCTGGGCCTGGCAGAGGCAGTGCTTCACACACTGGGTACAAAGTGGCCTTAAGGCAGAGGGGAATTCTCCACATAGAGCCTGCGTGTCGTGGTAGACTGCTGTGGGAGGGGTGAAGGCTGCCATTCTCACAAGCGGTGTGGATTTGTTCAGTTAGGAAGGTGCTTCTCTAGCTTTAGTCAGGGAGATAACTTTTTTTAGGAAGGTAGCTATTTGACAGCTTCCTTGGACTGACCCTTAGTTTATGTTGAGAAATGGCTTTCAGCCTTTTTGGTGCTAGGGCCTTTTTATAGTCTTAAAATTTGGTGAGAACCATAATAGCAGTATGAGTTACATAATAATTTTGTTTTTCAGTGTTTTCTGTATTATAGAAATGTTAGAAATATAAAAATATACAGATGTGTTTAAAACTAGCAATAAGTTATTTTCCATCTATATAACGAGATCCATTATTTTTCACATAATTTTTGAGACACCATAATTTTAATTAAAATAGAATGGAGAAAGTGGCATTTGTCTTTTTGCGTCTTTAGTGTCTGCGAAGTCCGAGGTCCCTGTGCTGCGATAGCTACCTCTGCATTCAGTTTGTGGTGATACCAGGCACGTGTAGTCTAGAGAAGTGCACCCGTGCTTGGGGGTGGAGGGGAGCAGCGCAGGTGATGTCCTTAGCGCTTGGTGACTGAAGGAGTTCTGATTGCGCAGACCCTCCAGGATCCCCAGACTGCACATGGAGAATCACTTTTTCATTGATGGACCAGTAAATACTGTCCAAGTCCTGTTTTTGTTGAGATACCGCAGTCGTGCTGTCAGTTACGGTGGCCGCTGTGGTGATCGCTGTGCTCTGACACTCACGCCGTCGAGCCGCGTCCTCCTAAACACGTAATGCTTGTATTCTTTCGCTCACGTAACTGGCATGTTCAGTGGAGTCTGTGCCTTCTGAATGGATCTTTAAATCTGCTCTGTAGTGACATTGCTGTTTCTGTTCTGGAAGTGAGCGATTCCCTACATCTAGGTATTTTCTAGCTGAATGTTGCAGATGTGGCCAGTGAATTTTAGTTTTGGTCTAATAAGTGCTTCAAAAGGCCCTTTTGAACCCTAGACGACTGGTGTGGAGCAGCACTTTCAACTGCTCCAGTGTGTCCCCTTGCTCCTCTGGTGTTGCACTGTGGCCAAACCAGTGGTATTCGTTTTGCAAACATGCATTATGTTATTCTTTAGTCACTAAAGCAAGGTTTACTGAAAGTACGTACTGTATTTTATTTGAGGTATGGGAATGGATGGTCCAGGTTTTGGAGGAATGAATAGGATTGGAGGAGGTATGTATAAGCACTTACTTTTTGCATGTACCTATTACAGTTTTTAATGAACTAGAAACTGTTGAGAATTCTAAGAAAAAAGTTACGGTTCATTGTTAGCTCATGTTCTAAAGGCTGCTAGCAGAAAAACTGAGTCCGGTTCATGCTCAGGGGAAGGTGATATGTTAACAAGTAGCTGCACAAGGTCGGGTGGATGACACACCTACTGGTGAGGCCTAGCATTTACAGAGTGTCCCCTTCAGCTATATAATTGACAGTAAAAATCTCAACATGTGTCCTTATTTCATAGGAATCGGGTTTGGTGGCCTGGAAGCAATGAATAGCATGGGAGGATTTGGCGGAGTGGGCCGGATGGGAGGTACGTACCTGTATGCGGGGAAACCCTCCCTGCATTAACTGCTTAGGAAGGAGGGGCTCTGTGGGTCTTAGAAGCCACAAGGAGCCAGGACCTGGGGCCATTGTGGTGAGGTGGGTGCTCGTGAGGGGTGTGGGCTGGGGTGGGGGTTAGTCAGCTTCGCACTTTTGACTTCGCTCTCTTCAGCTCAGCTTTAGATTTTTTCTTCAATGGCTTACATGCACTGATGTACTTGAAAAAGGGTTCATCTGTTGCGTGATCTTTTCAGAGCTGTACCGTGGTGCGATGGCCACTAGCATGGAGCGGGACTTTGGACGTGGTGACCTTGGACTCAATCGAGGCTTTGGAGATTCTTTCGGTAGACTTGGTAGGGCTGGCTGTATACTTCTTTCCTTTTCTCAGGTTTTATTCTCAGAAATTGTCCTCATTTTGTGAAAAATCGTAAATTTATGTTTCATTTGACCGAAGAAAATTATTTAGGAATTTTAATGTATTTTTTTCAATAAGAAATTTGAACTCTATTTCCAGAATACTTTATAATTTTCAGTTACTGTGTATCTTCTGAGAGAATAGTACCTTGGGAATTTAAAAGTTTCATTATTTAAATTAATTAGTATATTATCTTTCCATCCTGTTTAGGCAGTGCAATGATTGGAGGGTTTGCAGGAAGAATAGGAGCTTCTAACATGGGTCCGATAGGATCTGGAATCAGTAGGTTTAAATTTTACTGGAATTTATTCAGTGATATTTGAGTGCTTGCAACGATTCTGCAAGTGTAGTTATTGTATCATGGTAATATTTTGCACATCTATGTTAATGCTTTGACATAATTCAGGAAATTTGGAGTTATTAAGCCAAGGTTTCTGTTTGACATTTCTAAATTAACTCTGAATTGTACTTCTTTGATATATCTAAACTAATACCAGAGAATGTATTAACTATTAGCCAATCCAAGCACCATCTTTTCCCCCAAGGAATCTGGTCTATCTCAGATGACGTGTCAGGAGCAATTTTTGTTTTAGCACCAGCCCAACTTCATTTTATTTTCTGTAACAGCTGTTAGTGAGTAGCTCTTTCTGTCTGAAATGCGCTGTCTCGTGGGGGACACAGACAACGCCTTGACACCGTTGGAAGGGGAGGGCTCTGGGTGAAGGAGATGCGGACCACTGCTCGTCTTCCATCTGTGATGGAACGGAGCGTGGGTGAAGCTCTGGAGGCTGTGGCATCTCCCCTTGCCCGTTTACCACATTTCAGGCCTTTTGTGAAGCCTTCTCGTAGAGCTTAGCTTTCGACCGCCGGTGCCTTGTCTGTGTGAATGCTCTGTACTTTTAGAATGCTTTAGTTGATAGAAGTTCATAAGCAGGTAGTACAACCAACTTGAACTCAAATATTCAGATATGTGAATTCTAAAATCCTGTGAGCTGAAGTCACTTACTTCTGTTGTACCTTTCTCATTTCCTCCTTGTCCCATAGCCTTCTTTTTCTGTTAATCATAAGTTCTGCACTCATCTCTTTTATCTCAGTGTCTGTACTTATTGACAGAAAGCCACTTTGAAGGTAATGTTAATTTTTAGATTTTTTTTTTTTTTTTTTTTTTTTTTTTGGTATTTCAGGAAAGGGTCTACAGGGTCTTCAGGGTCTCACTACTAGATTGGACTAAGTAATCTGCCTGTTTACAGCCTCCTAAGAGCTGGGATTACAGGCATGTGCTACCATGCCTTTCTTAAGTTCTCAGCACATTCTGTGGGCGGGGCTGGCATGGCAGGCCCTGGGATTGAACCCTAGCTGCTATGCTCTGCCTAAGCAGGCGCTTCAGTCCACTGAGCTATTTGGCAGGCCCACTGTCACTCTTTTAAAGCTATTTTATTTATTTATTTATTTATTTATTTATTTATTTTGTATTTTAGGGGAAGGGTCTACAGGGTGTTCAGGGTCTCACTACCAGATCGGACTCGTAGTGATCCTCCTGTTTACGGCCTCCCAAGAGCTGGGGTCACAGGTGTGCGCCAGCACGCCCAGTCTCAGTCGTGCCATCTCGGTGTGTTCCAGGTGTGGGGCCAGCATGGCAGGCCAGGGCATTGAACCCCTGGGCCCTGCACTTGCTTGCAGGTGCTTTAATCTGCTGAGCTATTTGGCTGGCCCTTAGAATTCTTACATATGGGAATATTTGGTATAAGAAAAAGGACTAAGTTTTGAGCACCAATATGACTGGAAAAGTTAAAAGAGGAGAGGGTAGGCTGTAAGCGATGCGCAAATGTGAGTGGATGTGAGCCGGCAGCTAGGTCCGCAGGCTTTGGCTAGTGGGAACAGTAGCATGTTTTGTTGTTCCTCTATATGTTCTGTGTAGCGATTGTGTTTAAAAATGTTTTTATGATTATTAGTAATTGATACCAAAAGAGAAATTGGGAAAGAGATGAAGATATTGAGGGGAAAGATGAGAAAAAGGATGTTATGAAAGAGGAAAACGAGTGGTGTGTGTGCTGCAGTTGTGGTAATTGGAGTTTTCTCTACACAGCTTTATTCCAACAGTAGGCTTGCCAATGCAAGATCTCAGGGAGGATTCAAACTGTAAAAAAGTGATTGCTGGAGGATTTATATAATATTTTATGGCCAGAATATAATTTCGTAAAGGTATATATGTATAATGTGCATAGTAGCTAGAATTAAGATTTCTCAACTAACCAAATGTGTACTAACATTCTCTTCCTTGGAGAATAATTATGCTATCTGATTTTGTTTATATGTTATCTAGTTATATAAATGAATTTATTCCCTTTTCTCAAAAAACGATTCTTGGTTTTCTTCCTTTCTCCTCTTCCCATTTGCTTCTTTTTCTGCACCCGAACCACGAAATGACCCCACCTTGCCTCCTCGGTGAGAGTGAAGGCGGTGGCATGGGCGGCATGAGCAGTGTGGCTGGAGGCATGGGCCTGGGCCTGGACCGCGTGAGCTCCAGCTTCGACAGAATGGGCCCGGGCATCGGCGCCATCCTGGAGAGGAGCATTGACATGGACCGTGGATTCCTGTCCGGGCCTGTGGGCAGCGGGCTGCGCGAGAGAGCGGGCTCCAAGGGCAACCAGATATTCGTCAGAAATGTAAGAAGGCCCCAGGAGAGGATACTAAAAATCTTTTCCCCCTCGTAGATGTGGTACTAATACCTCTTTTCATTCTAGCTGCCTTTTGACTTGACTTGGCAGAAACTAAAAGAGAAATTCAGTCAGTGTGGTAAGTATGCCAATGACTGCAGACATATTGATATTTATTATGAAGGAAAATTGCTTTCAAACTTTTAAACACTGCCTAGCCTCTGCACCTGTCCCTGTGTCTGTTTCTAGGGAGCCTGTGTAGTGTGCCAGGTCGGGTCCCACTTCAGATAGTGACCACTTTGCTATCTTCTGACTCGCAGCATTGCAGATTGCTAGTAGCAACCAATGTTTAGGGCATATTCTATTATTGTCTCCTGGCAGTATAAAAAAGCCTTGTTATGTCACCTGATCTTTAAAAGCCTAATACATCATCATCATTTACATTAAAAAGGTTTTTCCTTTTGAGGAATCTCAGCAACGGCAGAGCACAGGGGTGTGCGGTGGGATGTGGCACACCTACCCCAGTGCTGGTGTGCTGGCGGTAAGAGTCCTGTAGGTGAGCCCTGTCCTGCCTGTCCCGGAGGTCCCCCGAAGCGTCACTGCCGGGGCGGGGTGCGTTGCGGCGGTTCTTGGTTCCTTGACAGCCTGCAGAGCCCTGTGCTCCTGGGTCTTGGGGTGGCAGGTGTGGTCTGCCGGATCCTCCGATATGTCATATGTACCTTGCTGTAGAGCAGTCAGACACCCTGGTCCACACAGCAGGCACAGCAGGAGTCTGCCTTGGATGTTCTCACTCCGTGTACTGATTTTCTTCTTTACACTAATGTAAGGTTGGTTGTCTTTTTAAAATACAAATGTAAAAATTCAGGGAGGGAAGTTTAATATTTATTTTTAAAAAAGTTGTTGAAAACAAAAATCAGCTAGTGAGTTGTCAAAGGGAGCACATTTACCAGAACAAGTCTTCAGTCCTGGCCACACATCCTAGGGCCACAGAGTGCTGTGGGACCTTGGTGCAATGAGCAGTTGTGATTGGAGGCGAGCTGTTGAAGCGCTGTCCCTAGGAGAAGGCGGTGTGTCGGGCAGCGCAAATGAAGCCGCACAGGTAGTGGGCACATTGGACTGGGAGCTGCGGTGTGAGCACGCTGAGTGGGCTCCTGGACCCTAGGGGCAGCCGTCTGTCCTCCATGGCTGGCTGTGAGCAAGGCACCAAGCAAGTGCTCGTGTGTGGGGGGGGGGGGCTTCTGCTGGTGTGGCTTTGTTGGAACTGAAGGGCTGTTGTTATTTTCTGCAAGGAAAATATCTCCAAGTCTGCATTTAAAAATTAGTACTATAATTTTGTTAACTTTTTAAAAAAAGTCTTTCATTTATTTATTTGTTGGCACAGGGTCTCGTGGACTCATAGTGATCCTCCTGTCTCAGCCTCCCAGTGCTGGGATTACAGGTGTGCACCACAACGCCTGGTTTTAGTGACCAGCGCGGTGCACCCTGGGTTCTGGGGCTGGCACAGCATACCATACCAGGGATTGATCCCAGGTCCTTGTGCTTACCAGGCAGGCAGGCAGGCCACTGAGCTATCTATCTCCTGAGGCCTTTACAGTAATTTTAGCTATCAAAAAATGGTGGTTATGGGCTGACCAGATAGCTGAGTGGACTAAAGCTCCTGCTTAGGCAGAGTGAGCTGCCGGGTTTGATCCCTAGAATGCTGTGTGGGCCCCACCCCCCAGGGCATGCTGGGATGGTGATTGAGACGGGGCGTGGTGGTGCAAACCTGTAATCCCAGCATTTTTTGGAGGCTGAAAACAGAAGAGTCACTATGAGTCCAAACTATATAGTGTCCAGTCTGCTACATAGTGAGACCCTGTAGACCCTGTCCTAAAAATACAAAAAATAAAATGATTATTCTTTTACTTTATCATTTTAGCTCTAGCATACTAGTTTGATCAATGTATGATAAGATTGCTCTTGCCTCTTATTTTCAATGCTTTTTTTGGTGATGCCAGGGATTGAACTCTGGACCTTAAGCTTGCAAGGCAAGCACTTATACCACCGAGCTGCCTCCCCAGCCCTTTGACTTTTCATTTTCAATTCTGTTGTATGTGTGTGACTTTTAGATTTTTCCATTAGGGCAGTATGGTACTTGCCCAGTTTCCTATTGTTATGGTTTGTGTCTGGTTGTCTCCCCAGTGCCTCATGCAGTTCTGGGGCAAGGACTTTTAGAGTTTAACTCATGATCCACTGGGATTGTGGGTAATCTAAGCCTGGGATTGTGGGTTTTAGTACTGCTGGGATTGTGGGTGTGTATGCTTCCCCCAGCCTGGGGCAGAGAGCTGGGATGTAACGTAGGAGAGACAGAGAGACAGACTTCCTCTCTGTCGCCACCCTCCTCCATTGGCTCCTCTTCTTCGTTGCTACCACCGTGAGCTGCTGCCCTCTGACTGTGCCGCTCCGCCTCGGAGCCAGCTGAGTCTGGACTGAAAACTCCAGTGACTGTGAGCTAAACACACCTTTTCTTTCATGTTGGGTGTTGGGGATTTGTCCCAGCGACGGGAGAAGCGTAACTGAGAAACCTATCATCTTCCCGTCTTAAACCTTGAATGGCCTTGATGCAAAGGGAAGCTATAATCACACAGAATGAAGGAAGGGTCGGCTGTTGGTGAGTAGGGATATTACCTGGCTAGTGTGAAGCCCACCACCCATTTTTCTGCCACATCACTTTATGTTTCTGCGTACCTTAGAGGGCTTTCTTAGAATGGGATGTTTCCTTTAACTTGATGCAGGCCAGTATTAGGTTCTCTGGCAGCAGAGAGCCCTGCTGTTTTGTTCTCCTGACTCCAAGGTGAGTAAGTACACTCGGACTTGCTTCCCAGTGAGAGTCTGGGGCTAGTCTGTGCGTCTCCCTAGGGCTCGGCCAGGGAAGGCACCACACTGAGCTCCTCAGCTAGGACATGTCTCCAGTGCTTCACTGTCCTCAACGGGGCCGTCACGAAGGCTGAGAAAATGTTATTTGATGGGTTATAGTACCCTCAATACACCATTTTTGCAGCCTTTATAATTCAGGAAAAATGTTTCAGATCTCCTTAACTGTAACAATATAAGTGAGCATAATTGCTCTTTTGCAATTTTTTCTAGTTCAGTCAACTCCCCAAAGGAAATGTTTTTGAGCTCAAGCTCATAGGACAGCCATTATTCCTACAGCAAAACAGATCTTTTCATGCTGCCTTATCCAGTTCCTCAGTGATGTGCATCTTTAAGAAGGTTTAAAGCAGGTCCAGGTTGCTGCCTCAGTGGTGGCCCCGTATTGATTCAGCTGCTGCTGCTGGGCTGCTCAGGCTCCTCTGTGCTCTGTGTGCCTGTGCTGGGGCACCACGCTGCAGGAAGCCAGTTCTCAGGCATCCCTGCTGCAGGCCATGTAAGCAAACATTTGCTACACAGACTTCTGGGATGTAGTGATGTCACTGCTCGCTCACTGCAGAAGGGAAGCGTGGGTAGGTTTTTCGTCAGCGCTAAACTACTTCAAAAGTGGCAAGTAGATTTTAAAATACAATAAAGGTAATTATAAGAGAAAAATAAGGTCTGAGGAAAATTCATTTATGGAGGCACTTTGTATTGTTTTTAGAGAAACAGTAAAAGTTTAATTTTTTTGCTTTCATAATAATTATGCTGATTTAAATAATTTAAATAATAATGCAGATTATAATAATTCTGATTTTTTTTTTTTTTTTTTTTTTTTTTGCAGAACTGGGGATTGAACTCAGGCCCTTGCACTTGCCAGCCAAGCGCTTATTCTATTGAGTTATCTCCCCGGCCTGCATTCTGATTTTGATGTTTTCTCCTATGGTTATGTTCCAGCATTCCTTAGTAGATTTTATTGAAGCATTCATTCACTTATAAATGCTTCAATTTGGTATATTCTAAGGTTTGTTCCTGTAGCAGTATTTCCCAGTGTGTACGCTGTACACGTTAGCAGGCTGCGTTCAACCAAGCAGAAGGGTTTCTTCTACTGCAGGAGAAGTAGAATTTGCATAAGCACCAGCTGAGCAGAGCGGTGTGCAGGGGCGTGTGCCTCATCTGCTCTGCTTCTGAAGCGTCAGGCCCGGCTTCGTTTTCACAAGAGATCTGTAGATGTTTACATCAGCCAAGGAAATACTGAGACCATGTAAAGAGGAGAAAGTTTTTAAGTAAAATTAGAATAAGGGGAAACCTGTAACTTTAAAGCCCTTGAATGTTCTTTATAGCCCTCTTCAAAATCCTAGGAAGGCATTGCCATTTACACAGGTATGCTTCTTTAATTAAACTTTCTACTTTTTAGGGTGCCAGTATTCAGGATACTAAGAAGACTCTGGAGGTTGCTCCATATCCATCTTTAAAGTTTTAAAAAACATGTATATATCCTAGTTTAATTTTGTTAAAAAATGTATTTAGTACAGGGTTTACAAGGTCTCACTACACAGATCAGACTTTAGCAAGTCTCCTGTTTTCAGCCTCCCAGGCACTGAGATTACAGACGCACCACCCTGCCCAGTCTCAGTTGCTGTCTCAGTGTGCCGGGGTGGGGGTGAGGGGCTGGCACCATAATTTAATTTTATGACATAGACTAGGGACATAGCTCAGGTGCATACTGCCTGCCTAGAAAGTGCAAGGTCCTGAGTTCGATTCTGGTACCATAAAAAAATCAAACAAAAACACTAATATTTACTAAGGAAATGTGATTGGTGTATTTAAAATTTTTTGTTTTCAATTTTTATCAGTTGCAAACTAAGTATTATTTGGATCTCTTTTTAACACCAGAGTGCATTTCTCTGGGCTCTAGTCTGTTCTGTAACTTATAACACATCTAAGAACTGGTGGCCACATAAGATCATGGTTTTGCCTCAGTATGACATTATCTTAAACCTTGTAGTGTCCTGTAAGAGAACAGTTGACAGCCAGTTGGCTTTTTTAAAAAAATGCAGCAGTAAGAGGAGGATGAAGGGCCCAGAGTAAAGTAGTCAGGGTGTTGCAGGCGGGAGGTGGTGCAGCTTGGGGGCCATCTTGCTCCTGCCCTGAGGGTAAAAGTTCGTCCCCTCATCTGGAAAGGACTTGTGTGGCTTTTTGACAAGAGCTCCCCTTCTGGCTCCCCTTTTCCTTTTTGTTATTTTATAGAACTCTGTTTGTCTGTCTGGAGTAAAGTTAGCCCACGTAGTGTGGCAGCTGCAACCCTTGAACGCCTCTGGCTCGATGTCCATGGTCACCATCTGCCTCGGCGAGCTGTTGGGCCAATCCCATGTCGCAGGTGCTGGAGTGCAGCTCCTGCGTCTTACCCGTGTGTGACTGCTAACAGCGCCCCCTTTACCTCTGGACTGTCCTGGTTTGGATGAAGAATTTTATGGCCACATTGTCTTTTGATAAATTATACTGATTTACTTCAAATACGAGTACCTAGAGTTAGTAACACTATTCACTCTGTAAGGAACAGCTCTCTGGTTTTCTTCCTTTTTCCTGAAGCTTCTCTGAGGTTCTTTGTGCTGCGAATATTGCTGATTCTTACCTTTATTGATTTATTCTGTCTGTAACATGTTTGATTCCATTCTTAAGACTTGGAGCCCAAATGGTGATACCGAATGAGCGGGTTTGGCACTCAGGTTGAAAAGTACAGTTGGTAGAATTCTTTTGGCCCCAGAGAACTTAGATTTGGGGGCAGTCACCCTTATTTATGGGGCATGAAGTAGTAAAGGGGATAAAAGGGAAGACGAGTCATCAGGAAGACCAAGCAGTGAGCAACCATTTATTCTTAGTTTGATCATCCGTTCCAGGTTGCCACGGGTCCTGGGGAGTGAGTGCTCTGTGCTGGTGACCCAAGCCTTACTGCAAAAAAATTCACTGAGGAATTTAGTAATTTAACAACAATAAAACATGTTAGGCCCCAGGCGGATTTATCCCAATTCAAATTTTGTATATGCTAATAAATATTTGTTACATTATGTGGATTATATTGCATTCAGAATATAAAATAATAATGTTCATATAATTATTTTTAATTATTAGTGCTAATGTTTCTAACCAAATTACCATTTCATTGGCTGTGAGGAATTTCAAGCCTGTGTGGTGAAATGACGAATAATTCTGTAATGTTTTCTTGTACAGGTCATGTCATGTTTGCTGAAATAAAAATGGAGAATGGAAAGTCAAAAGGCTGTGGCACAGTCAGGTTTGACTCACCCGAGTCCGCCGAAAAGGCCTGCAGGATAATGAATGGCATCAAAATCAGTGGCCGAGAAATCGATGTCCGCTTAGATCGTAATGCATAACTTCAGCTACACTTGAAACATTCCTTTGTTTTTGCTGAATCTTCTAGAAAAAGTGTTTGTTTTAGTAATACTGTATGCTTACAGAAGCTGTAAAAATGGACTTTTAAAATTCTGATCAGCTTTCAACAGTATAATGTTAAAAATATACTGTGAATTTGTTTTGGTTCATCTTATGTTGGGTTTCTACAAACAGCAAGTCTGCTCATTCAGTTTAAATGAATGGTTATACTGTTTTTAAAGAAATAAGCCGTTTTCCTTTTTTCACTATGGCATAGTAGGGTTTGTTTGTTTTGGTTGCCCCAGCTTTTATCAATTTATTGGAAAGTAAAGATGGGTGGTTTTTCAAAATTTTTGTTTTATAATATATAGTTGTCCATGAAAAGAAGGGCTCAGGCTAGTTAGAGTATGATTTTGATTGGTTTTAAGGTACTTTTTGTTAGCATAAAGAATTACTATGAGTGTTAGATAATGAAGTTCAGGATGTTTTTTTATTTGACTTAAAGGGATTTTTCCATGTTCTCCCATTTATATTTTCCACATGACACTATTAATAAAATCAGTCTCCACAACCTTTTATTTTATTATTGCCAACAATTCCCAGTTCATACAGAACTGACAGTGTAGCGAGTACCACGTACAGTAATAGGCAGGCTCCTCCCAACTTTCTGTCTAGCTTCCAGCCATTAAAATGAACCGCTAGAAAAAGAAAAAGAATGGAAATGCCGAGGGAGACGGTGACGTACGCGAGTCCTCCGCTGTGCACGGCTGCGGGCGCGGACATGCCGACCAGCGCGGCGTGCATGAGCCAGGGAAGCCCGAGGCACAGCATGTCGAACACGTTGGACCCCACGACGTTAGCCATGGCCATGTCTCCCTTCCCTGCAGACAGAAGCCGCTGTGAGAGTGTGCACACCACGGGGACTGCATTTGTTAATCTTGGAAGAAAAACACTGGATACTTTTTTTGCTGATTAGTTCTGGAAAATTGTTACTAGATTGTATCTTGTTAAATTTGTATTTTAAACTTTTCGTTGGTTTAGTATTTAAAGTCTTAACACTTATTTAATAATTATTTATTAAACCATTTCCCAACAAGGTATGTAGCTTACTTGTTGCTGTTCATTCTAATCTAACATAGTTACTATTTAGTGCACATCCTGTTCTTATTTGGGAGTTAGATTAACATTAATATGGAATTAGGAGTAAACTTGCCCTTGAGTTACTTTTTTTCCTTTAAAAGTACGTTAAAAGGGGAAATAATTATTCTAACAGCTACTCTTGGCGGCCCGCCCGCCTGTGGAGTGGGTATGCAGCTTACCTCTTCTGGCCACCAGCACGCTAGCCACTGTATCTGGAATGCTGGTTCCTGCGGCCAGCAGGGTGAGGCCCATCACTGTGTCTGGGATCTGCAGCGTTTCCCCTGCCGGAGACACAGGCTGCCGTTAACCATGGCACGTTCTCTGCGGACACTGTGGGACTCTTCCTTCTTGCCCAGAAGGAACCACAGCTGTATTTTTTTTATCTGTACCAGGGATTGCCAGGCAGGCACTTATTCTACTGAGCTATCTCCCCAGGTCAAATAAGTTACGCTCAGTCCCTCTCCATTCAGGACATTTTATTTTTATTTTTTCATTTATATATTTGGTCCAGGGTCTCACTACACATCTCCATTAGATGCCTGTTTTCAGCCTCCCCAGTGCTGGGATTACAGGTGTGAGCCACCACACCTAGACTCTGTCACTGGCTCAGCGTGCCCTGGGGGTGGGGTTGGCGCTGTATGCAGAACCCTGGTCCCTGAGCTTGCCAAAGCAGGCGCTTACTCTGCTGTGCTATCTCGCTGGCCCTCCACGGCATATTTAAGATGATTTTCCTTTTCTTATGAGTGCCCATTAATTTTTATAGAGTTAGGTGTCATTACATTTATTTTTGGTCATTTCCATTAGATGCTCTGTAAAACAATTTCTGAGCCAGTAATGTGTTCTAAACCAAGTTCTCATTAGGAAAACCTTGGATCAGGTTGGGAATGTGCATAGCCCAGGTAGTACAGATTTTTAAAATACTTAGCCAAACTTTCACCAGGGAGGAATCACCATATTTACACCCTTCCAGAATTACAGATGTCCTTAGTTAGCTCATGAGGGCTGTTGCTTAGCATCTGCTAGGAAGACTCAGCATTTTCTTGTTTTCCTTAACTATTTTTTAAAGCATTAGAATTAAGCATAGTGTAGTTGTTTTTAAGCTATAGATGTGTTAATAATTTTTTTAACTCTTTAGTGACATAACTTGGTGTTTTCTTGATAAAAATCTATCTCTGATAAAAAACCATTTTGCTTTCTACTTGAGTTTTTTAAACATCTGGTCCCACTTTATTCGTTGTTAGTTCATTGTTTTTTCTGGAAACATGGAAATTTAAGGAAGGTGGGAAAGAGCACATGTAACTTTTAATGTCACTGAAAATGTAGCTAGAGGTTTTTTTACCCCCTTTATTTCTTTTAAAATGCTAATGAAAAGTTAATTAGAAAGTAGCTTGCTTATTGCATGTTATATGTTGATACTAGAATTGAAATTAGAATTAATTTTTGATACTTGCTAGAGTTCATATGTACATAAATAGCACCATTCTTTATCATGTTAAGCTGCTGTTCTGTTACCTTTCACTTGATTTTGCTCTCTTCTGTTTTAATATCAAATTGGTTCTTAGAAAATGTGGACAGATTTAATATGCAAACTAATTGGACATTTCATCTTCCTTATTAAAAGAAAACTATCCTGCTGTTTGCTAACATACTATTCTAGTTCCTGTGTTTACGTAGGCAAGCCGGGTAAGCAGCGCTGGGAGGAGAGCCCAGGCAGTAGTCATTTCAGCCTTGTAGGTGCTCTGCAGTCAGCCCCGCTGAGGCCTGAAGATGAGCGGGCGCGATCTGGACAACTTCATTCCTACAGCAGGCTGGGGGTCGGGCGCACGCGTAACGGTTGTGTCCAACACGGACCTCTGACATGTGCCGATTCAGGGGAACCTTTCTGGGAGAAATCCCTCCCTAAGGTGTGAGTTTCTCATTTGGGAATGAGTATGTTATGACCAGGCAGTAATAGGTAAGGCTTCATCATGAAGATAGTAGACACCTAAAAGGAAACTGTATCTCCTTCTCAGTAACTTCAGAGTATATTTATTAGCTGTGTTATAAAGCAAAGCCAAATGTCATCTGGCTGAGCAGGGAGCGCCCGCTCCTTTCCCAAGGACTGGCTCCTTACTCCATTCTTCACTGTGGAATAGAATTCATTGCAGGGTTCACTTACTGTGAAATCCAAGAAACGTGGCTTAATTATTAGCATAACAGACACAGGATTTGATTTCATCTCTAAGATAATTCTTCCAATTATACTTCATGCTGTGTAACAGGAAGAATGAAGTTGATATATATGGTACAGCTTTGAAAATCTGATCTTGTATTTAATTTAATCTTTTTATAAATAGCACTTTCTGTCTGATTGAAGAGAGGTGCACCCTGGAGTACCTCAGGTGAGCGTAACACGGTGGCTCTTAAGTGCGGGCGCTCTCCTGGGGTCCTGTTGCATACGTACCGGTCACAGTGACCATCCAGACCAGGATGTAGGTAAAGGCAGATATCCACAGTGCCGACATGAGAAAGGTTATCATGTAGTAGTTTTTCCAAAACTTTCTTCGGCAGTCTGGTGTTGTTAGAAAAAGTAATGTAATGATAGGAAGGGATAATACCCAGAAAATCCTTTTAAAGTCTGCTTCAGGCATGTGGAAAACACTTGGTGGGTCTGTTGTGGAAAAATTAAACAGTTTTGAGTTTTCTCAAATGGCCAATTAAGTCAGAAATGCCCATTTAGAAAGCTATATTGAAACAAATTAGCTGTATCAGTTTTTAAAAGGCTATTTAAAACATTTGAATACCTCATTACTGATATTGCTGGCAAAAAGAAACTAATTGAAAGTTTAGGGCAAACAATCTAAGATGTCACGCTCAGCATTTCTTGATTTATGGCCTTAAGTCCATCAAAATGTCTTGGGCCATTTTCTAAATATGTTAGAGACAGTGTTTATGAAGGGGGAGTTCGCAGCTCCTGTTTCTCTACGGAGACTGTCTTTCGGGACTTGGCTTTGGGGTCGGCCTGGCTCTGACACTCGCCGCCCAGCTGCCTGCCGCCAGCACTGGCGACGCCTCCCACCTGCCCTATGAGAGCGCATGCAGTGCAGGCGTAGGGACGCACCGTCACGGCAGCACGTCCTTATTAAGGTGCGTGTTCTACATTAACTCTTACTTTTCAGGGTCTCTGTCATTATTTACTAAATTCAGGTTCTCATCAGTTCCTAAAAGAACCTTAAGAAAACAGGACCTAGCATATAGTCTACAATGTGATTTGTACTAGAGTCCTTTCATTCTGTTTGCTCTGCACTGGTAGAGGATGGGACAGTAACAGTAGATAAAATGGATATTCATTGTGGAATTGCTAACATTTGAATAACATTTTTAAATAATGTGTTTTCAGTGGAGCAAATCACATTGTAAGTAATGCTAGTGAAATAGCACCTAAGTAAGTGTACTATGTCTCAGCCAGTGTGCCCTCAGTTATTAGGTATCGTTTGAATGTAATACAAGAATTTGGATGGGCTTTTTTTGAGTTTCTTCTTACAAAACTTAGACACACATACCTCTTATACTTTAAAGATTAGACACTAATTTTTGTGAGAGGAAAAACTCATGTTTTAATTTTTTTAAAGTGGTAAATGAGGAAAAGTTTTCTAATTAATTAAAATAGAATCCAAAGAGCTAGTTTTTAAATAGTGCCTCATTTATACTTGTAGCCATAGCCGAACTTGACTTCCACTGAACACATGTACCTGAATGTTTTGCTGTTGCTTCACTTGATGTTTAAACCTCAGTGGATTTTCCTTCCCCCAACCGAGTCCCTTTTCTTGAGCAGCCAGATCTGTAGGGGGTGGCCTTGTTTTCTCAGTTGAGGCCAACACCTTGGAGTTTTCTGGCCCCTGTAGTCGCTTGGTCACCGAGGCTTGGTGACGCTGCCTCAGCACTATCCCTGTCCAACGTCTCCTGCGCTGCCTTCCTTGTACACACATCAGCTGGGGTCACGGCCTCTTCCACACCCACTGGCTCTGGCTCTGTGCTTTGGCTCTGTGCTTTGGTTCTGTGAACACTGCTTTGGGCTGATCTTCCTAAAGTACAGTGCTGATAATGTTCCTGCCAACACTCCTTCCAAATTCATGCGCTAGCGCGCAGGCCCTTCATGTGCCTTCCTGTCTGCCTTCCTCTGCTTCCTGACCAGCGTGCTGCCTGGGCCCCACGACGCAAGTATCTCGGCATGCCTTTGGCTGCTGTTCCCTTGGCCTCATGGACTATTCTCTCCTTGTTTGTGGTGTTGGGTAAGAAAGGTTTCAGGCAGGTCTGCTCACTTATTGGTACAACATCCTACAGAGCTCAGTTACGTGCTGCTTTCTTCATTAATCTGTCATCGACAGATCAGTCTGTTCCAGTTAGGAGCTACAGCTTATTTAATTATTTAAATAATACTGGGACTTCCTTAGGGGGCCCAGCCGGGACAGTGTTACTAAGTACACAATAGTTGCCAACTTGAAATGAGACGCTTAGGACTTTCCTGGCAGTTAGACACACTAGCGACAGGCGTTGTTGTTACCTTCAGAAACTTGACCGAGACCGTGCAAACCAATGGAGAGCTGGGAGTAGCCAGAGTCCTCATGGAATATCCCGCTGTCGGTTCTGGACTGCCGGCGAGCCAGGGGCTGACCCTCCTCCTCCCAGCCTGCCAGCGCCTGCTCGCCTCTCTCCTCCATAGCTCTGGCAAGACGGCCGCAGCAAGGACTACAGTTCCGTAGAATGTATTGCTGAATTTTAATGTCAAAACACAGCACCAAAACGTAGAGTCCATATATCAGAAGCAGTAAGCTTCCTTCATACCTATACATTAAAGAGAAATTCTGTTTTTGAACTTAAAGCAGCAGTAATTTTAGCTAACCCCTTTGGACAGTGCCTTCCCCCTTTCATGTGTGTGGTGTCTTATACATGCAAGGCAAGCCCCGAATTGTTGGCACATCCCAGCTCCCAGCTAGCATCCTTCAGACAATTTTCTAACAAAAGCAGCATTAAACAAACATTTGTAGAAGCTTTCATTTTGTAGATTTGTCCATACTTGGTTATGGCATTGGTGTAAATTCTTTTACCAACACTATAAGAACAGCATTATAAATCCTTACTGCATATGTAGATTCCTTCCAAATGTTAGGCAAAAACAGTGCCTTGAAAGTGATTGGAGATTTTCAAAATAAAACTGAGTTGTAATGAGCATTTTTTACTTCTGTTCTTTGATATACTTCATTCTCTCATATAATAATAATAATAATAATAATAATATACGTTAACTTACTTCACCTGTGCCTGTTTGAGTTTTTGGCCTAAGAACTTTGTGAAAGTATTCAGAATATGTTAAACGTTGGATGGGCCTTTCTGGTTGCCATACAGAGATTTTTTTAATGATTTTAATATAATTGAATTGGGCTTATATTCACAAGAAAGCAAAGATATTCTCAGTAATTACATCATAAGGCCCTGAGGTTGGTTCCCCATATTCTGGTTTCCTAATTGTCTGTAACTAGCTGATGATGCTGCATTTGAACTTGCATGCTCTCAGTTCAGAGCCAGTGAATGCCTCTGCTGCAGCTGAGCTGACGCAGGTCCCGAGGTTGCTAACACGGGGGCACTCGTTAGCTCAGATACGTCACAGTCACTGTCCTTTGCAGGCTGCTGGTTCCGGAGAGATCCTTTCTGGGCTACTATGGTCAGTTTGAGGAAAACAGACCAGATATCAGAATGACTAATTTATCAGTTACTGTCTCTGCTAGATTTTAAGTTTCTTGATAGTAGATACCCAAGTTTAGCACTCCATGGAGCACGATTCACCTTTTTTTCTATTTCTCTCCTGTCCTCTGGAATTAATAGAAGGCTCAGCATATGTGGCCATTTGTTTTACTGTAATAGATGTTTGGGCTTATTTGAAAAAGTTTATGTCTCTTCACAGAGTCGATGCCATTTTCATTTTCTCACACCAGCTAGGCAAAGAGATTACAGGAGAGCGAACAGTTTTAATCTTGACAGCTAGGTATTGGTTCTTAGAAGGAGGCTGTATAGGTCTTCCTGCTAGATGAACGTCCCAGAGAAATCGGAAGGAGGGCATGTTACTTTTACTGGCTTCTTCTAATCTTTTGTGGCCCTGACCACTTCTCTCCAAGGCAAGTTAAGCAATAACTGAACAGAAGGAAAAGCCAGCAAAACTCGGGAAAATTTCTGAACCAACGACGGAGGGAAGAGGGAAGAATGATGGTCTCTAGTGAGTGGTGAGAGAAAGTAGAATGGGAGGTGACAAGAAATTCAAGGTTGTGAGGTGTACCACCAGTGGGCACTTGGGAGCACTCCAGCGAGTGCTGGATCTGCTGGGGGAGGGGCGTGCCACTGAGCAGCAGCTGGACCGTGGCCCTGCAGGGACAGCTGCACTGATTTCATTCTAAGTAGGGTTTTGTTGTTATTTGGTTTTTTTTGTTTGTTTGTTTTTTGTTTTGTATTTTGGTTCTGGGAATTGAACTCAAGACCTTGTGCTTGCCAGGCAGGCACTGTGCCACTGAGCTATCTCCCTGGCCCTCTAATTACGGTGTATGTGAGAATAACGGTGAGTTGAGCTTACCAGTAAACTTGATTGTCAAATATTACAGCAAAAACCGCCGCTGCGCTCACGGCGTATGCTGCGCAGTCTCTGAGCAGGGGCCAGCAGGACAGCGGTGAGGCCTGAGGACGAGAGAGGAGTTGCGGTCACAGCGCCGAGGAGCCCGGGGCGGGGGCGGCGGCGCGCTGCTGAGGCCCTCGGCTTGCTGCTGTGGTTAGCTTTACGTGTTGCTTCGAGAAAGACCTGAAGGAGCGCTTGCTTCTAAGCACACCTGCCTTGCATCGCTCGGAGTGGGTGCTGCGGTGGGTTAACTAAATTGAATGAAGGTGGTTTCTCTACTGATTAAATGTATTGAAAACACTGCTGGTGGCTTGCTGTTCATCCCGCGCAATAAACAATTATTTTTATAACTTGTCAAGGTGATACATTTTATTGAATAAACTTTTCTTACCACGTTAGAGAGCAGGCCACAGGCGGCACAGATGCCAAGCAGGTTATAAATTGCAGAGCCCAGAATGGTGCTGATGCCGATGTCTCCCTTTGTGATAAATACACCTATTAGCAAGATAGGGGCTGCTAAGTTAGCGTTAACTTGAAGGACAGAACATTACGTAGCGTAAGAGAGCGTAAGGAGCCATATTTACCTAGAAAGGCAGTAACTAATTCAGGAGCAGAGCTACCCGCTGCCATGAAGGTTGCGCCCGCAACATCCTGAGATAATCCGAGGGCTGAGGAAAAATGAAATGATTATTGTGCCTGAGAAAGCAACACATGAAAGAACGTGTTCACGGCTAAGTGGACTAGACACTGTGAGGCTATCACTTCACTAAGGCATGTTAGTACGTAAGACAGCTTCGTGAACGTCAAACTGGAAAGTAAAACCGGCAGTTAGGAAACGAGGTCACCCAGTGCCCTGCTTTCTCTAGGGGCCGTCGCTGAGTGCCTCTACAGAAGAGGAGAAGGCCGTGGTCCTGTGCCACCCTGACGCCAAGGCTTGGGCTCGTTCCAACCCAGCAGGGTTCCCAGCTGTAGACAGGAGTGACAACCATGACTTCTTTACAGACTACGGTATCCCGACTGGAGTGGAGAGAAGAGAGGGTATTACTAGTTGAGATCGATAAATGAAGTTGAATTGAGCTTGTGCACACATCTACAATATCAACATTGTCTAATTACAAGAAAGCATTTAATTAACAAAGCCTAATAAACACGATTCAATTTTAAATATTGTATAGATATCTATTTAAAACACCAACCTATTAAAACTCTTAAGAAATGTGAGAAAATACTGTGCTACTTTGCAGGCAGTCTGCATATTGTCCAGACTAGATTAGCCTACACGTGCATTAACTTAGTGACCCTCTTGGCCCTTCCAGTGTTAGAGCTGAGAGACCCAGTATGTGAAGGAGTGGAAGAAGTTGTGTTGGAGAAGTCAGTGCACCTCTGCTTTGGGAAGGCTGCACTGGAAATCTCCACCAGGCTTCCTGGCAGAAGGGACGCCAGCTGGTAGACGTAGCAGCTAGGTGCGAACTTCCCCACCCTAGGTTATGGTGAGCCAGTGGGCTCGGCTTCCTGAGCCGTTTGGTGACAGTCTGCTGCTCACTGTTGCGTGCTGCTTCTCTTGTTCTTGGTGCCCCAGTTTGCCTGGATCTCCAAGCCTGGTGTGATTTCCTAGTCTTCATCTTGGGGACCAGCACCTGCTGTCTGCTCCCAGCCGCCCCCATCCTTTCTCTGCCGGGGCCCTGGCCTTTGACCGTCCAGATAGCTTTTTTGTTTCTTGTTAGGCCAGGAGGAACTTTGCAGAATGTCGCACCTGCAGTGTCTTCACCCCAGGCACTTTTCTGGGAACGTTCTGCACTGTACTTGAAGAGGAGCCTGAGCCTGCAGCACAGTTGGCATAGCACTTGTTCAGCATAAGAGGTTCCAGACTTGAGTCCTCCCACCCCAGGAAAATCAAGGCAGAGACAGTCTCCTGCTGAACTGGAGCGAACCCTTCAGACCTCTTTGACTAATAGAAGCTGTCATAGTTCTAAGGCTGGGACATTGTGCAGAGATAACCGAAATGGCAGGTGCTTCAAGCCATGGGGCTTGGGCTGATCTGTAGCCACAGGTAATTGCCTGGCTGCCATTCATTTATGTGTTGTGCTTCCTACACCCACCACGCAGGATGCCTCTTGTTATGCTAGGAATAGGGCAGTGAATAAATGTCCCTGCCCTCATGGAGCTGTAGTCCCAGCTGGAGAAATGAGTAGTGAGGTGTAGAAATGGAGGGGAGAGTTGACTGGCTACCGAATAGACTGCTGCGCAATGCTCTTTGGAGATGGACTGTTGAATCCGGAGCGTCTGACCACTTCCTCGCTGTTCGCTGCCAGCTGCGTCACCTGACATCACCTGCAGTGCATGATGGGGAAGAGCTCCACGTAGTCTACGTTTCGTTGCATTTTCTTCTCTGGCTAAAGTGGTTGCCAAACCGTAAGGCATGAGTATTGTCAGTGCGATCTGTTTCCAAGTCCCCACCTCTGTCCTCACAGGGCCTGCGTCCTCAGGTTGAACAACTGCATGTTGAAAATGCTCAGTGAAATGGCTTCTGTAGTGACATGGGCAGAGTTTTCTCATGTCATTAATTGCTAAACACAGCAAACAGTCACAGGCTAACGTTCTGTGGTGTTCTTATAAGTAAATTAGAGGGGATGTAAATGATAGGAGTAGGTTATATAAAAATAGGATGGCAAGTTATAGACAGGACTTGAGCACCCCCAGAATTTAGTGTTATCAGGGGGGCCTGGAATGAACCCCTTCTGGATGCTGAAGCATGGCTGTTCTAATATTTATATGCTCGCCCTAGCCAGGATGTGTGTACGTATACAGTATGGAGACATATTTATATATATACACATGCATTCATAATGCAACTCTGACCAACTCTCTATAAAATTTAAAAATAGATTCCCTTTTTAAATTTTTGAAATGAAGTAAATATACATAGATATAATACCAAGCATCCTCAGATATGACTGGGAGAATTTACATTTTATGGCTGAACAGGCCCAGGGCGTGGGGCTGTAGCTCAGTGATAGAGCTGTGGAGAATGTGTGAAGACCTGGGTTGTGTCCTCAGGGCCGCAGAACTAGAAAACAAAGCCCGAACACGAGTGGGCAGGTCCTAGAAGTGGCTCATAGTCATGGGCATAGATAGTGGATCCTTAAAAGTGGGCGGTTACAGCAGCATGGACCTGAGGCTGTTGAGTCTAAGTCCGGTGCTGTGTTTTGAGACTGCACCTCAGCGACTATGTGGTGGGTGATGGAGTTGCTTTCCCCTGGCTTCCTAGTGCCAGCACCACAGCTGCCACTATTTCATTCTTTCCTCAGGGAGGGGCCCAGTTACTGCAAGTCAGGAATACTTAGGGAGTATTCTAGTCTGAGTTTTTAGAGGATTTGTTACTAAAGTGCTCTTGCTTATTACTGTGAATTATCTTCCCAAGTCCAATCAGGCTTAGATAGTTTGTGGGAGAAAATTTATTGGAAGACAATGCTTTATCCTAAAGTAGCAGGCCAACTTGCAGCAGCTGAAGACTGCCTCATTAGAAAGATACACTTTTGAGAGTGGTGATCTATTTTGGTCTGTCACGGGGCAGAAAAATTGGTAGCCCTTTAGAACACTCTTGGTCTCAAAAGGCAATGAGAAGAAGGCTTGTTTCTACTCACGGGGCTCTAATTAAATTATAAAAGGAGATAATCTGTATAGATGGATGAATAAAACTTTAAAGATATTTTAACAAGTTATATCTTAAAGTTCTAGGAACATTTTGTAAAATGGTTTATACTGTTGAACTTTAGAATACATTGGCTTTGTCTTCTTCGACCTTTGGGTAGCATTTCTTTCTGCTACAGTTTATTATTAAAGATAAAGTGTTTTGAGGATTTTTTTTTCCCTCACTAGCAATTACTTTTTTTTCCCCTGTAGTACTCTAAAAGAGCAGTCACATTTCCTTCAGGAGGTAGCAGAAATTCTCGAGGTGAATTTGCCCTTACAGGTTTAGGCACCAAAGCATTGTTTATGTGAAGCACAACTCTTCGAGCAGGTTGTCGGCTGTTACTGAAATTCATCAGAATCATTCCCTTAAATGTGTTTCTTTTTACAATACCATGCTGGAGAGCATATGACAGCTTTTGGAAGTCTTCTGCATGATAGAATAGGGGGATTATTGAACTACAGCTCAGACCTGAATTGTGGCCTTGCCGACAATTTGATATAGAGCTGAAATCACAGTGGGAGGCTGTGCTCCGTCACCGTTAGGCTGTCTCCTGACTTGGACATGTAGGCTAAGATTCTAAGCTTCGAGACTTCGTATCTCCTTTTATTGTAATTAAATTCCATAAACAATAAAAACCAGGCTACCTTCCTGCAAATTGGAACATGGAGAGGACAGGGGGCAGGGAGGACAGCTGCGTACCCCACCACTGCATTTTAGCTGCTCTGTCGTGTTCACTGTGTTTCTAGTGCTTGTCACGGTGCATGCTCAGCGCAGGCAGAGCGTGGGCCACACAGAAGCTGCTCACTGGCCCCGGGCACAGTTGTGAAAAGTTTGTAAACATGTTTGCTTTGTGAAGATACTAGAGTTATCAGGAACAGTCAAAAAGCTACTCAACTCTTAGGGTGTGTGGAAGTGCTGAGTAATTCTAGTTAGATTTCAAAATGAAATGGGACAACTATTTCTTTATATTTACAAAATTGGTTCTGAAATTTCAATTGTAACAATTTTGAATAAAATCAGCATTATTGGAATCTATCTATCTATCTATCTATCTATCTATCTATCTATACATATATCTATATATATCGATGACCTATTTACCACCTGTTTTGCCTGTATGAAACTCGTTCCACTGAAGGAAGGACTCCTGTCCTCAGTCTAGTGGCTGTAGCATTCCAGGGAGTTTCTACCTGTCTGTAGCCTTAGTGTACCTAACATGCTTCCTCCAATCTTCACAGCCACCTGACCGCAGCCTGCCTCAAGTCAGAGGGGGGATGGACACGAGATCCCTTCTGGCTGCCCAAGTGGGCAAAGTGATTAATCCAAAACTGCTCCATTATCACAGTCATTGCTTGTCCCGGTGATAAGAGCCTGGTAATACATGGACGACTTAGCGCTCCTTTAGAGCCCAGTGCCTGGTGGGTTTAAATGTGACCCAAGGGGACCCCACTTTAGATCAGAGAAGAAAGAACAACAAAGAATTTACAAAGCTCTCAGGAGCCCAGTGCCCGTGGAAAGGGAGGAAGCTCTATTCTGAGAGTCTTTGTTCTCTGGGAAGCTTTTGCCTCTGTAAATTTCATGAGGATTAAGAACTAAACAATCCCTGCAACTATAGGCTATCCAAATGCCACACTTAGAAGAATTATTCCACTCCCAATTTTGCCAATTTAGAACCAATTCCACCTGGAATTAAAACTTGTATTTCTTTTTCTCTTTCTGAAACATAAAACAGCAGAGAAAATGAAAATAATTTTCTAAATGTAAGCTTTTTATTAAAGCGTGTTTCCTCCAGTTCTTATTAAATTCATTGTTGCTTAAGTCCTAAGTACCAGCATGGTGTGGGAATTAGGGTTTCTAGCCTAATACCATATTAGCGTGATACTTAAACAGGAAAATTTTATAGCAAGCTTATTGTTGAATTTGGCTTATGTCGAGTGATGAATCTTTAGAAGTTCTCAGACTTTTTCTGTAGAT